ACCTAAAATCCTCCATATAAAAAGGAGATGACCGAAAACCAAAAAATTCAACGTTTGAAACTATCTATCTCTAACCCTCTCAAACTCATCTTCCACCCCTTCAAAAGCTCTCATGTTTTTTTTTTCTTTCCACACAACATATTATAGTGAGGAGAATGAGACCTACATGTTTCTTCCTACCACTAAAATCCTTCCATGCCTAGATCTCATCTCTAACTGCACCAGCCATTATCGCAAATCCATACACTATGGTCCATAATTTATCTGTCATCGACTACCAATGCAAAATGTGGTTACAAGACTCTATCTCCCTCTTACATAGAGAATAGTCATTCAACATAATTTTTCCACTTCTCATTAACTTGTCACCGGTGAGAATACATCTATGCTTTGCCTCCCGTACAACGAAAGCAATTCTGATGAAGCATTCACACTTCAGATTTGCCCAAAAGAAAAATTAGTTTCAATGATGTCATTCTTAACCAAATAATTATAAAAAGACCTAACCGAGAATGTTCTATGGAATTGAGAGTCCAGACAGGTTGGTTGTTACTCCCATCCATTAAGAGAAAAGAGAATATACTTAAAAGAGACTCATGCTTAGTAATTTTTCAAATATTGAGGTTCCTCATCACATCCACATGTCACTCCCTTTTTCCCCCCAAATCCTTGTGTTGTGCAATAGTGATAATCTGAAAAAACTGAGCCCTGAGCACTCCCCCTCTAAGCCAAAACTTCTTCCAAAAATTGATTATGTTCCCATTGCCTACCTTAAACCTAATGCATTCTTGAAATTTATCTTTATCCATGCATATTTTTTTCCACATCTCTTCCCATGCGATCTTGACAATTCCCTAAAGTACCATCCATTATCCACGATACCAATATTTGTCTTTATCACCCTCCACCATAGACTACCGTTCTCTTTCATGAACCTCCAAAATCACTTACCTTATAAAGTCAAGTTCATATCCACAAGTGACCTCAATTTCAAACAACTTTGAGATATTTGTTTTTTGGTCTCATCCCACGCTACAAAAAACTTGTCATTAACCCATTAATTTTATCAGTGGAAGATTTTTTGGTGGATTCTGGTTCTGTAGTTTTTCCCTTTGCACCAAATAGGTTTCCCAAGTAAAAATATCTGAGATCTTGTGTGGCTGCTTGCAGTGTTATTTAGCTGCTCGGTTGATTGCCTATTCTGTTACATATATTTGGAAAGAAGAATTGCACTGTACTAGCTTTGCCATAACCTATTTGTTGTAATAAACCGTTAAAGGAAAAGACATACATATCCTTTTCCTTCACTAAACTAACACAGAGCAATATTATGACATTTTACCTGCTTTTCCTCACGGGAAGAGCTTGTGTCATCTTTCAACTCCCCAGGGTTTTTAGGTGCACCTTTTGAGCCAGCAGCTGGCATCCTTACTTCCTATCATTAAGATGCTGTTAGAAAGGTCCTTGCATTTAGGACTAGTACCTTACCAAATGAAATGATAGAGTAAAAACAAGAATCAACTACAAAAATTTTTAAGCAGGCATTGTAATCATTGAGCTACAACCAACGGCACCAAACAGATTATATGAAATATTTCCTCATTTCTACAACATTGCTCCTCCTGCAATTAAATTGCATGAACAAAAATCAAACAAATTCCAAGGGAACCCCTTATCGCCAAATTTCCGTTGCAGACCAAAATATGGAGCACCCTCCTCCTATTTTATACTTTTAAGGAGCTCTTAAATTTGCAGATAACAATCACCCACTTCACATTGAACGAAAAGAAAAAGAAAAGAGAAACGTATTGAATGATGAGGGAAAAAAGAAAATAGTCACCTGTATGGCAATGACATCGGGATCAATATTGGAGACTAACTTGGAGAACTCGGGCCAGTCGTTTTTTACTCGAAGAAGCAAACTATTAGCGTTCCACGTTAAGAACTTCACTGGCTCTTTCTTGCTTTTGTCTTCGGCTATCTCAGTGGTTTCCCCTTCTTCCTCTTTTGAAGATGATAAGGAGGGTTTC